AAAATGGAGTATGACATAATTTTCCAGCAGCTTAATGAATTTAAAGTGTCCGCAGTTTATTTAATATAAGCGTTCTACCGTTTCTAAAACATGACCTTTCTCTATTTCTATACAGGGTTTAGAATTGTTGTACTCTGAATTTAAAATATGCTTTAGCTTATAGTTTAGCAGTCACAGTCTTTAGAGTTAACATTTTTTGAGCATCTATGTGTAGCGAATGATATAGTTTGCAAGTCCAGCACTTCGAATTTCAATTTCTTGTAAATATTTTATTCGTACTATTTGGAAAATTTACTGCAGACCAGCGTTAATGTCAGCCAGCCAGTGTGAATCACTCAGACAGTGCGAATCAGTCAGGCAGCTAATTTGTGACATCGTCCGTTCAGCGCCATGTCGCCCCCCCCATGTCATTCACACAGAATAAATAGCACAGCAGGGGAAGTCAGTAAAGTTGATACTGTGGCAAAGGAATGTTTCTGCGGCATGATACGAAGCAAAAACTATTTTCAACATGCCAATTCCAGTTAACCGAGACAGGGAGATCGATTGTCGCGTTCTCCTGAACCTAGAATAAATTAAGGTGAAATTTTGTAACCGTGCTGTCTACAGTTAAGACAGCAAAGTTCATGAGCCAAAGTTTAGGATTCAAGAGACGCAGGTGGTCGAGAGCTGGCGATGGGAAAATCATCGCTTCTTCTAGTACTACTTATACCGCTGGTTTGCTATGATTATTAGAGCGAATGTTACAATATTGACCTAATTGATCTGGATCTATGCCACGCTGATGGCGAATGGTGAAAACGGTAAAATAGGTCTCATGGCGTTCTCGAATATAACTATTTTCAACGTTGAGTCAAACCGTGCGCTCGATAACGATGCTTGCTTTTATCTGGAGCTGAAACTTTTTCCTTCATTACAGAACATGTTCGTCCTCGTGATCGATCACCGCCCCTTTATCCGAAGCAAAGATCGCTCATGAGTGATAATAAGTGCTAATGCATCAAGCCAAGCCTTATACCAGGGAAGAAAAACACAATCTTCTTCGCATTTTTTCATTATAGCTTTACTGAATGATGAGTATTTGGTCGATGACAATAGCTACTGATTAAACCTCTAAGAAAATTAGAGCCTTATGCCGTCTCATGCGTATTTGAATAATTAGCAGTTTCTGTTCATACTTCCGCACTGTTTGCAAACGTTAGTTTAAAGCGATGCTAAAGGTTCAGGTTATTCTGTCGGTAGAGCGTCGGACTCAGAATCGAGAGATCCTGGGCTCAAGGGGCAGTGAGGGTCATTTCGAGTTTCTTCCATCTGTAGTTGATAAATAAGTACTACTCTGTGAAAAGAAAACAAGAGACTAAACAGTATGTTTGCCACGTAGGTGCTGTTGATTCTAGCTTTATAATAAGGTATCCCTCTCCGATGGCACTGTATGAAAATCAGCGTCCCACCATTAGCTTAATGAGAAGGGCGTCAGAAACAGCACTATCATGTAACAGTTCATCGGTTGGAAACTTTCCTTCATTTCTTTCAGAAATATCTGTAAGTTCTTGTCGGTATTTAATTATGTTTATCTATACATCTGTATCTTCAGTATATGTGTGAACTTCGATGTACACACGTTCTGTCTAACGGATGAGATTTATATACTTTTTAGGAGGTTGGCCTGTCACTTTTGACGTCATGCTTGGAATACTGGCTAAATAACGGAAGTGAGTCACCGCATGTTTTTGCTAGCTCACATCTTCATTCCCTACTTAAACTTATTCCGGAGAGGCCTTTCTTGAAGCTTCAGGTTTTATTTCTAACTATACGTAACGAATACGGATCGTTTTGGTTTCAGACGATGGAGGTTATAAAGGAACAAAATACGTTAACATGCATTTACCAAGTTGTCGATGGCTCAATAGAATGTTCATACGCCGCTTATTCAGCACTGAAAGCCGGACTGTCGGAAAAACTTGTGAAAAGGGCCTATGAGGTACATACAATTCTCTAATTTCAATCTAGCAGTCTGTCCGTAATGACGGTAAAAGAAAATTGTTATAAAAAATTGAAAGCTTCGCGCATGTCGGTGTCTCATGTGCTTTCACAATGGACAGTATCTGTAGTATTTTTCTTTCACCGGCCTTCAGTATGGCGCTAATTTTCGCTACCACGCCTTTTACCGGAATTACGTGCTTCTTAAAGGCAACATTTACAGTTTACTAGCTAGAGTAAAATTCAATATTGCACAGTATCTTGTTTCATTCGTTCGTGGTGGTACGTACTTGGGGGGGTGACACGGTGGCAAGTTTTGAGACCGGGATCATTCGCCTACGAGCTTGGCATTACGCCTATGGGCTGTAGTACCTTGGCCATTAAAGCTAAGTGACCCTTAAAGGTAAACTATTAGACCAATAACGACGCATTACAGCCGCAAGGCGGCAGAGCATGTTTATAAGATCCGTAAGATCAAATGCTTGTTGTCGTCGTACCTTTTCAGTTTCTGTCGCAGGAGCAATTCGAATACTCATGGAGGGGAGGTGGGCAAAAGACTACGAACAACGCTTGTCACGCATGTTTTACTCATGGGTGATCGTGGTACCAAAATAAAGATCAGCTCTGTCACGAACTCCATTAAATAAGTGCATCTCACAACTCAATTTAGCCTTCTGTGGTGGTCCCATTACTGTTCAAAACTGTATAACTCCCCTAGAGCCTGCGCTGCATTTCCATTTTAGCGATTTACAAGCTTCACTGCCTTATGCGTCAGACACAACTTTTACCAAAACAATATTATCAGAAAGAAACGACTGTCATTTAGTATTCGATTAGCTCAATGGAGCACATAACTGAAAATAAACCATTTGCGCCCGATAACTTATTCGCCATTGGCGAATTCCCAAGCAGTATATGCTGAACTCTACCTAATTGGATACTGTGCAAGGAGATTGTCTACTGATCGACTGCGAATCCAAACTGCATTTAGTGGAGCCAAAGAGAAATATCACACGAGATTACACGTAGTAACCATCATTGAACTGCAAGGGGAAGAATTCGAAACGGCGTAAAACTATTTACTTCTATTTCTTTTCTTGATATGCATAGTTTCACCGTACCGGATTTCGCCACATTGACTTAACTTTTTGCTCCCAGATGCCTAAGCTAAACTTTAAACAGACAACGGCTCCGTGGTACTTTAATACCTGCAACGCTTGGATGACCTTATCGGTTTGTTGTTTGGAACAACACTATTTCGTCAATCTGACCATTTCATGTACGGAAGACTACTGTCATTCAGACATCCTTCTTAACATCGAAATTTATGGCTCATATTAATTTTTAATGAAATTTCACTAGTGCTGTATCCGTTGAATTTTGAAATTGCTTCATACTGTCACATCTTCAGTTTACTTCCTGTACGAGTTGGTGCGTTCAGGCTCAGCGATGCGGTATTCGTTTTAAGCGTAGAGGTTTAAATGTCACGGAATCATGGCGTACTTAAATAGTCCCCCTAGGCAACTAGAATCAAAGGTACGTAAGATCTGCAGTAGCGGGATAGAGTAAAGTTTTCCGTTAAGTCTGTGATCCATTAAAACTTCTACAAGTAGTCGTACAGTGTATTCTTAAAAGAGACCAGAATCTAACTAGGCTGGCAAGTCACTTCACTGGCAGGTCAGTCAAAGTCTGAATGTTCTTACTTGTCCATTTGATTTATATCGATAAGAAGGTAATTAAAGCGTAACTGCCAGTCTAGATAGATAGTTGTTTCAGGGTTCATTACAGACCTTCAAGACAACCGCAATGGCCTGCATTATACGCTTTACTTTACACCGTTCTTTAATGCTATCCCTTCTTTAGTCATGACTTATTTCTCACACTGGGATATTCGCCATGAATGGCTCGTACACGACCTACTTGGCTCGAAACTACATCAGCTAAACAACAAATAATTGCTAAAATGTGGTGAATGGGTGACTGAAATATGATGACGTGTTAACCATAACGTGTCCTGAAAAAAGACGACTCGATCTCTGCGGAATACACTCTAATATACACGGCTAATATTATTTCCAGCGTTGTTACAATATTAGCGAAAGCCGAACAGCATTATCTGAACATTATCAGGGAAATACGGACCGAAGTCGGTTGTGGTCTACTGTTTCACAGACCAGTCCTATGACATTTGCGTAATTAAACTGTTGTTGTGTTTCCGTATAATGAATGATAATCATTTTTGCAAAATTAACATAACAGAACTTGAATGTGTTGATATCCAGGTCTACGAAAAGATGAAAAACGGCGAAGTGATTCAAAGATCGGATAGCACAGATGAACATATGCAGGAAGAATATCACAGGTAAGTGTTTGCAACAGTTACTTCAAATTGCTCTTACAAAGCCAAATAACTGACTTCTTGGAACTCTTCTCTGAACGAGGTCCTCTTTCATCCGTTCAACCTGTATCCTAGCGACGTCGAGTGCTCGACGACTAAATCAAGACTCTATATGGTCATGTATATTAAAACTGAAAACAAAACCGTAAATAAAGAACTCTGACTCCAAATAATCAACGGCTTGTTCGATGATACGGACATCATCTTGTTCCACTACCCTGTACAAGCCTTCATTGTAAAGAACAATAGCGGCTTTGACCGTGACTTGTACAAATAAAATTTTATAACTATTGCCGCAGAGACCGGCATCTTTCAGAGTTTCACAAACGCGCTGTGACATCGAAAGTCTGAGCAGTGTGTCTGTACAAACAACCAGGAGTCTTTTATTGTACTTTAACAGCAGTGTCGCTTTGTGAAGGAAGTATGCCAGAGATAGTACTGTATTATTTGGTACTTTCTCTATCAGTTGCTAACTACTCTCAGGAAGAAAATATTTTTTGTCATGAGGTATAACTCGTGTCCAGTGTTAGAGTGACACGTTTAATCAACATCAGTACATAAAGGTAGTTAGTAGCTTACTTTTCGTATAACGAAGATTCGTGACGCTGTGATTTTTTTAAGGATGGAACGCATCGTCGACACGTTCCTAAACGAAGAAGAAGACAGCAGCAAATTCATCGCTTTTCTTAAGAGTATTGCCGATGAAAATACGGAACATGTACAAAGTTGTTTAGAGTAAAAGTTTATTCTTCCTATGCAAATTAATATACTAAACTTTACTAAAAAACAAAATAATACACGAAAACTCTGAACTCAAAACAAACGACAATACAATAGGAAATCTGACGAAAAATTAAGTATGGAAGGAAGAGTAAGGCACAATGCGCGTTAAAGTTTACAGTTTCGATGAAGTGACGTACGAATCAAGTGAATTTTCGATAAGTACTCGATGCGCGACTCGGGTGACACCAAGGTTCGTGAAATCAGTCCGACCAAAAAGCAGCAGCTTCTGACCGTTCACCTCAGCCTTCGCAAATTCGTCTTTGTACTGATGCAAATGAAGGCATTCGAGCCAACTGCAGACGTCATCCGTCGTCCACACTTTCACGGGCTTGTTTTTGAACGCTAAAGTACCTGAGGTATCTGTCAACAAATCTTAGTTATTAAAAGATTGTCGAACGGCGTATTATATTTGTCATTTCAATACCATGACCCCTAGTCAGATATGAAAACCGCTTAATATCAACGATGCCTAAGGTGGGAAAGAGTTTTAGAATAGCTGCTGTAGTACAAGCGCCATAAGAAACCGGTCAGAAGCAATTAACGAACGTTACTATCCTAAAGTAGTATATATAGGTAGTACCCTGTCTGAGACAAGCTGAAATGCCCTTTAAAACTAAGTCGACAGGCGAATCCCCATATACGTCACTTTTCCTTCAGTCATATGACTTTATGCAGGTTTAAACCTCATGAGCGGCATAAGCTCATCTTATCAACGAATAATCCGCATGAAAAATGATCAAATTAAGTGTGCTTCAGTGGAGAAATGGCTAAGATGAAGTCACTCCGCGAAATCTGAGTATGGCAGGGTGTTTGCTGTTATTATGCAAGAACATCTATTTACAGTAATGCTTTCTGAGGTGTGCGCTTTACGCTGCAAGTTTTCTTGACAAAATTAGAATGCAAACAATTTTATGTGCTATTACTGCGTTACGCAATTATAGTGTACTGCGTATACTATCATACACATTGCATCAGTAACATACTAAATACTGTCACGGTGTGTAATATATTGTGTACAGTACATATCATTACGCGTGTATATATCTACAATACTATTACGATATACCATACATACCGCACGCTACGTATGTGTCCTATAAATATCATACTATACATTGTATGGCGTATATAGTATCTCATTATCACGTAATATACAGTATATATAGTATAGAATGTATAATATTGACATACTATACAGGATACAATGTAAAGCTAATATACTTTATTGCGACACAGTATGTAGTACCGCTGCTACATTCTATTTAGTAATTCTGTGGAATATACAAGTTATAATGCACAGCGTATGTACCACGTCATTAGAACATAGTGTGTTAAGTAAATAGTATATCAATGCCAAATAGCATGAATTAACCGTAAAATATAGAGCTACTTTACTGTGAAAGAGTACTAAATGCCTGGTGTATACACTATACACTATGTTATAATGTATTATATATGTAGTGCATCAGCATAGTATACACCATGCTACGCACAATTCAGTGATACATAGTTGTAGTAACGGCATGCGTATTTTGAA